ATAATATCAATAAATGTTTTTAATATAATATAATATAAAATATATGACATGCAATTATATTTAGGAATTGAAATTTAAAGGGTAATTATTTGGAATTAGATATGATATGTAATCACCAAAAGGCATTTGGTCTAGCGGTAAGGAGTGACTCTCTCAATTAAGAGATCATGAGTTCAAGTCTCGTTAGAGACATATGTGACAATTTAGGAGTATATTAGTTTGTCGTTCTAAAAAAAGATAGGATATGTAATCTTCTGTCAATACAATTACATATACACGATCATTCACTTTTTATAACAATGAACTTTATGTTTTTCCACTAGGCAAATGCCCGCGCGTTGCGCATAAACACCTATATAGTTGAAATCTTTACAAATATATGTTTTTTTTAGTATAACAATAACGTTGTTGTTAAATCTGATATAATAATTCGTATACTAAATTGATATAATATATTGATTATTTTGAATCATATGATAATATATACATCTATTATAACTGTATAATCTCAACCGTTTGAATGACTTCTACCCGCGTGTTACTCATGAATAAAATTAAATATAATATATGGTTTAATGTTATTTATAGTTGTTGTTATTGTTAATTAATTTTTTAAAATTTATTTGTTTAACGTTTTAATTTCTACCATTATAATTATTTAAAACATCAAATATTGTTTTTTGATTTTAAAGGTAACAATATAATCATTTATATAAAGTTATATTTAACTATTTTAATTGTAAGTTATATTAAGCTTCTTATTTGAAAACTTTTAACGATTACAGAAATATCTTTAGGAAATATTTTAGTTAAACTGAGATTATAATTCAGTTTTTGCATTTAACACTACAATTTATCACTTTTAACTATTCACAAAATATATTCATTGAGTTTTTTTAAGTGGAACTGAAATTTATATTTAAGCTGACACTGTAATGTTATATTTAAATTAACAATTTAAGTATTTTGTCCAAACTGTTCAAAACTTGTAGATTTAAATTTATTATGGTTTACATACAACAACATATTAATCTAATAAATTAAGTATAATCTGTTAAAAAATTAAAGACATAACTTTATAAGCAGAAGTAAATATGTTATTTTAATATTGAAATTTAGTTTATTTATGATTACACTTTAGGTTTGATATTTATTTAACCGTATTAACCAACTTATAATCATTATTAGAAAGACACTACAATTTATCACTTTCAACTATTTACAAAATATTATTTGGGTTATTTAAGTTAAAATAAAATTTATATTCAAGTTGATCCTGTAATGTTATATTTAAATTTATAATTTAAGTATTTTATACAAATTGTTCAAAAGTTGTAGCTTTATAATGATAATGGTTTACACACAACAATATATTAAAACTAATAAATTAAGTCTAATATGTTAAAAGTTAAAAAAATAACTTTATAAGTAGAAGTAAAAATATTTTTTAATATTGAAATTTAGTTTGTATATGACTATACTTTATATTTGATATTTATTTAATCTTATTAACCAACTTATAACCATTATTAGGAAGAAATTGAAAAGTCATGTGAGTTTCAAATGAATATGGTAAAAGGAAAAATGCATGAGAGTTTCAAATGAATGTGGTTAAAGGAAAAATGCTAGCTTTATAAGATATATAGATATAGATATAGATATAAATATAGATATAGATATAGATATAGATTTTTATAGAAAAAATATTTTTATTTTTATGCCATCTTTTACCATTATGGTTAACTGATATTAACCACTAACCATAACTATTAACCGACTAAAACCGTTAACCAGAACCAATATTAACCACTACCCAATGATTATCGAAATACATTAACCAATTGTAATTGTTATGATTCAGTTTTGTCCAATAACCGAACCAAGCCGTCTCATATACACTCCTAGTTTTAATTACATGTGAATAGTTTAATCACATATGATTAATACATATAATAAAAAATTATAAAAAATAAAAACATTTGTATTTTGTTAAAAATATTATATTACTATTATTGTTAATTTATAAAGAATTAAAAATTAAAAATTTTAATGTATTTAAAAAAAAACTTTGATAAAAATATTATTCCAAAATAAATAATCAACATTTGTTCATGCATTCTCAATTTTATAACGATTTTATAATGGTTTTCGTTTGAACATACTTCATATACTATAACTATCCCAAACCTTCAAACATTTTAGAAAAAAATCGTATATCTAGTATTATAAGTTATAACCATTTATCCGCCCAAAACTTGTTCCAAAAATTAGGGTTTAAAGTATTTTTGTAATCTCTAACTAAAATTGATGATGAAAATATAATAAAAAAAACCTTAAACCGTACACTTTTTGTGATGGAGCATCATATGGGCACCTAATAAAGTCTGCAATGTTTTGCTTTTTGTATAAGAACATCAAGACGGTATCACTTTTTATACATATACAACTACATAAATAACTATATTCATCAAAACTCAACAGAGTTGTATATTATTTTAGTTCACTTGGTGGCCAAATGCTAGTTTGGCACAACCTTCTCTGTTCTCACTACACTTTGTGGGGACAATAAAGTAAAATAGCCTTTTTAGAGTTATCAAAGAGAGTTTTTTTATTAAGAAAATGGGAACTAGAATATCATCAACATTAAACTCCAAAATGTATACAATTTATTATATCTGTAAAGGGCTAATTAAAAAAATATATATCAAATGATAGCATAGACAGATAACCAAATTATTATGTTCAACACAAAATGATCAAAACAATTTGTTGCAAAAATGGTCTTATGATTTTTTCGATAATTCCTTAATTTGGCAAAACAACCTAAATAACAAATACGATACTTATTTCACAAAACGTATATAATGTGTTTTTTTAGATAAATATAACTTTAAAGCAAATGGACCAACCTTATATAACGGATTATCAAGAGGAACATGCTTTTCTTTCGGCAAATGAACATAATAAAAAACATCGGTTTAGGGAGTCGTACTAATAGGGGCAAAACTTTTTTTTTTCATCGGCCGACTATTGGTGGTGAGTTGACAACGATCGTTGCACAACGGCTGCTCGGCGAAGGCAGCAACAACAATCGATAAAAATTTTGAAATTTTTTTTTTCTATTTACGGGTAATCAATTATTTTTTTTAAAAAGATTTTTTTTGATGACTCAATAAATAATTCCTTTTAGGATATGAAGCAACACAATTATTTTAAATTTATTGTCGACACAAATTGTGTCTGATGCATTGTTCATGATCTTTTAACTTATTCTATGAAATGAATTAAAATATAAAAAGGAATTTCAATTTAAAAGAGTTTATTTTAATACATAAAACAAGAAATTTAACGGTAAAAAGGAAATGTATTTTTACAAACACATTGTATTCATTCAATTTGTGTTTGTAAACACTAATTTTTAAAGCAACACCCAAATTATAAACACCCTAAATTTGTATCTTATCACCTAATATTTGGAACAATATGTAGGTATATTTATGGCATAGCCAGACCTAGTCATATGTCATTCAAGGTAAATTTCTCGGCTTTGTTCAAACCTAAGCAAGAGATTTACATGCGTAAATTAGACGATTCAATCATCATCTTGGTAACACCTTATAAGCATTGGGAAATGATAGGATATACATATCTAAGGCTGCGTTTAGTACATAAAAATAGAATTGCAGCAGAGAAAAAAAATTAAATTAGAAAAAGAGTGTTCACTCCACTGTTTGGTAGAATCGAAAATTCACTAGAAAAATGCTTATGAGAATCATTTCTCATAATTGTTTGATTATATTAAGCAGTGAAATGGAAATGTGTTTTTTTATCTTGTTTATTCATTTTCAAACAATATCTTTTATAAAATACATTATGATGTATATCTTAATTTGTCAAAATATGCATCTTTTATGTTTATAATTTTATATTTTAACATTACTTGTTACCAAATAATTTATTTTCTTGTCATTAATATTATTTTATATATATATCTTGTATTGGAAAACATATTTCTAATAATAAATAAGTTACATATAGATCCAAACTTAAAAAAAAATATATAAAAATCATATTATTTAAAAACTATGTCCACTATAGGATGTGCAAAAAGTTAAATTTAATATCCGTAACAACTAAAAAAACATAATTATGTCTAATATAAGATGTGTAAAGAATCAACTTCAATATTCGTAAAAAAAAAACATATCAGCGTTTGGTACAGAGAAAGAGAATTAAGCTACAGAAAGAGAATTTACTTCACTGTTTGGTAGAACCAAGAATTCACTAGAGAAATGTTTATGAGAATCATTTCTCTTGTTTGGTTGTATTATGCAGTGAAATGGAAATGAGTTTTTTTTATCTTTTTTATTTATTTTCAAACAATTTTTTTTATAAAAAATGCATTATGATGAACATCTTAATTTGTCAAAAGATGCATCTTTTATGTTTATAATTTTATATTTTACATTACTTGTTACCAAATAATTTATTTTCTTGTCATTAAGATTATTTTATATATATCTTGTATTGGAAAACATATTTCTAATAAATGAATAAGTTACATATAGATCCAAACTTATATATATATATTATTTAAAAACTATGTCCAATATAAGATGTGCAAAAAGTTAAATTCAATATCCGTAACAACTTAAAAAACATAACTATATCTAATATAAGATGTGCAAAGAGTCAACTTCAATATTCGTAAAAAAAAAAAACATAACTATGTCTAATATAGGATGTGCACAAATTCAACTTCAATATTCATAATAAAAAAAGAAGCATAACTTAAAATAGTTTAATCATGATATTGAGTCATCCAGAATCATTTCCTTGTAACAAATTTTTTCTTCTTCTGACATCTTAAAAAACGATCGGGCGCGGAATTGATCTTTGCTAAATATGTCAATTGCCTTAATTAGTTGTCTGGCATTGATATTTGGCATTCGTTGTATATCTTCGATAACTTTATCTATCATATCACATGTTTCCTTATTTTATTGTCTTCTTATATTGTATATTGTTTCAGTAAGTTTCTCACCAACCTCCTTGAAAGTCTCTTTCATTTCTTTTGTTGCTTCCATATAAGAACTTTCGGTGTCATCAGTTGGAGGCCTTTTATGTTTACTATTGACACTAATAACTTGTTGTATCTCTCCCACAATATCTTCTAACCCTTCCATATCAACATGTGAGTTTCTTTGTGTTTCTTCAATCACATATTCTCCCAGATCACTAGCTCCACTACCAGTAACTCTATCCTCATCGAATATTTTACACAAGTTATCGAATTGGGGAAATGGTTTATCGCGAAAACATGCAGCACCGTTATGAATCTACAAGAATGGCCCAAAATTAATTGGTTACTATTCATTTACAATATGTTTTAATGATGTTAAAAATACTAAAAACATAATCATTATAGTACCTTTTTGTACTCATCCCAAACTTCAGCATCAGCGGTACCACAACATTTATCTGTATCCCAGCCGAATCTACTGGTGTTTATTCCATATACAATGTCATGTATGATGTTGAATTGGTTTTTTCCATTTCTTCATCCTCGACTTATGATGAGGCTCTTCTTTCAAACCCGAGTTAGGAATACTTGCATCTAGTAATTGTTGCACCGCTTTCAAATAACTGGGTTTGAATCTGTTGTCGGCACTACCATACTTTCCGGATACATGTAACTCCATCAATGTTTCAATCAATTTTGCATCCTCTTTATTAGTTCATGTGTGTTTGTTTCACCCTACCATGCCTACAAATCTGTTTACATAATAGATGCTTGAAATAGTAATTCAACCATTAAACATAATATTAGCACACTACATAATGAATACGAAATATTATACAACAACCCTGCATCTGTTTAGGGTTGTATAAGTTGGACAAAACTTAACCAAATAAGCTATTTTTTATCCTAAAACATATACAAGACAGTAACACCCGAAATCTAGAAGGCCAATTATGGAAAGATAATCTTCATTTCTAAAGGTCAACTCGTCGAGTTTGGGCAAGAAACTCGACGTGTTGGAAGTTGGACCGCGTGTTTTTGGAGGACCAACTCGACGAGTTGTGGAGGATCAACTCGACGAGTTGGACGGGGTTTGGGAGACCCTAAAATCAGGACTTTGCACCCTATTTAAACAACTTAAGCCCTAGGGTTTGGTCTCATTTCCAGCCTCCAAGTCCCTAACCCTAAATCTCGAAATCCTAAGCCATTTTTGTGATTGTAAGCTAATCTTGTGCATTCTTGGAGAGTGTGAAGAAGAAGAAGCTTGAAGGAGGAGCAAGAACGTATGTGAGGAGAGTAGATCTAGAAGTTGGGCTTCATTTCTGATTCATCTGAGGTATAAAGCTTCAACCTTGTCTATGACATGCTTAGATCTAGTCTTAGGATGTTTTGCTTCATGTTTTGGTCCAAGTATTTTGATGGTTGGGATTTGGATGTCCCATTTGGGCAAACCATTCAGATCTAGGGTCTTGAGGGGACTTCATGACATAAAGGTGCCAACTTTATGGCCATGGAAGTCCCATGCAACTTTCAGACCATATTTTTGGTCTTTTAAGCCCTATTAGGTCTTGCATGCGAGTAAATATGAGAGCTTTACGTGGAAAATTTGTCCCTTGAGTCCAGATCTATGACCTCATGGTCTATCTTGAAGTTTTGATGGCTTTTAGAGTTGGATTCAAGCCATGTTGGGTTAGGGTTTGAGTTTTATGCGTTGGGGAGAGGTCCTTAGTGGGTAAAGTTGGAAACTTTACCCTTCTAGACGTATTTTCAGCTTGGATCCAGAAGATAGGGCCTTGATTTGAAGAATAGGGACTTAATGCATTAAGAAGATTGACGAACTGAAGAGCTCGACGAGTTCATAAGAGAACTCGACGAGTTCATAAGAGAACTCGACGAGTTGTTCTGGAAGTGTCCCGACTCTGTTGGAAAAAGAGGGACTCGACGAGTTGTAGGAAAAACTTGACGAGTTGGATTGCGAAATCACAATTTTGTGATTCATGGAAACTCGGCGAGTTGAAAGGGTAACTCGACGAGTTGAGTCAACTCGTACGTTGACTTTTATTTTGACCAAGCTTGTCCCAAGGGGGTGTTTGGGATAATATGAAGTGTGTTCAAGGAAAATATGGGCTTAGGATAAGACCCATGTGAGATTGGGCCCAATTTGGAAAATTGGACCATTAGTGGGCTTTTATGGATTTTACAGTTTTGAGCCTCTTTGGCTGGGCTTGGGCCTTACTTAGGAATCTTATTGGGATAGGGGTAAAATGGTCATTTTATCCCAAGTATGGATTATGGATCATGGGATGGGACCCAATTGCTAATTAGGTGATATTTTGGTATTGATAGCTCGAGGAGTTGCCAGGGCAGCAACTAAGGACTTCTTGTAGGGAACTTCAGCAGTGCAAGGTGAGTTACCTTCCCGATATAAGTGGGTCGAAAGCACCAATGCCGGCCCACTAGTAGTTGTTTATAGTAGAGATGATTGTCTTTGTGATAATTGTCTGGTTTGCTAATACCTGTTGAGATTTATGTGCTTGTATGCTATGCTATTACGTGGTAGCGGTAGGGGTGAAGTAGACCCCGTAACCGGTCGAAAGAGACCGAAGGGGTAGGCCAACACCCAGATATGCTATGCAGCATGTGATTTATGTGTTTATATACCTAGGATATTATGTGGTAGTGATAGGGGTGAAATAGACCCCGTAACCGGTTGAAAGAGACCGAAGGGGCAGACCAACACCTAGATATATTAGGCAGTTACCGGTTGAAAGAGACCGAAGGGGTAGGCCAGCACCCTGATATGCTAGGCGGTTACCGGTTGAAAGAGACCGAAGGGGTATGCCAGCACCCTGATATGCTAGGAATTACCCGGTTGAAAGAGACCGAAGGGGTAGGCCAGCACCCGGATATGCTAGGCAGTATGTTTATTATATGGTATGTGGTATGATCGGGGAACTCACTAAGCTTCGTGCTTACGGTTTTCAGTTTTGGTTTCAGGTACTTCTTCAAAAGGAAAGGAGTCGGCATGATCGCAGCACATCACACTATGATTTCTGCATTATGAGATCTTTGGGAGTTGTACTCTGATATTACTTTTTATGACATGTTTTGGGTTATTTGAAATACTGGTTTTGATTATGAAATGAGTTGACACTATTGATGTTTCATACTACTGGTTTTTATAATTACTTATTCAAAAATGAAATTTTTGGCTCTAAATTTTGGGATGTTACAAAGAAAGAGGACCATAATCTGGAAAAAAATCGCCTAATTTCGAGCTCGTATGAGGCATTTATGATGGTTCACAGTTGGACAAAAATTATAAAAATGATGTAATATTATACAACAATCCTAACAGCCTCTGTTTATGGCTATATAACTCATCCAAAATTTAACCAAACAATCTATTTTTTATTCTAAAATGTAGACAAGACAGAAGACTATAATTTGGAAAAAACATAGCGTGATTCCGAGCTCGTATGAGGCTTTTATGACGGCTCAAAGTTGGACAAAAACAATAAAAAATGTTGTAATATTTTACAACAATGCTAACAACCCCTAATTAATGTTGTATAACTTAACCATATCTTAACCAATTAAGTTGTTTTTTGAGCTTACAATGTAGCCATGATAGAGGACTATAATCTGGGAAAAAAAATACGCTCATTCCAAGCTAGTATGAAGATTTTATTGTTATTCAAAATAGTGTAATAATTAAAAAAAAATGAAATAGTAAAACAAATTTCCATTGTACATATAGGTAAAGCATGACCTGTTAACAAATTGATTTCAATGAAAGAAATTTGTTGCTTTTTTTTTTACAGTCAACATTTATCTAGTGAAACATAATTGATTTTAACATTGGAAGAATATATTTTAACATCAAGAATAGATTTTAACATCAAAAACATTATTCAAACATGTACAAATAATCGACACATAGCGTGATCTTAACATATTTCAGAAACAGATAGCAAGATTACCTTGAATCGGAAGATGATGGTTCCAAAATCGACCAAGAAGGAGCTACAAAGAAGGCATGAATCGAGCAACACAACTGTCGTGAATGATTTTGATCATGAAAGATCTAGTATGCTCCAGAGTCATATTAAAGTGATATTGCTAATTAACAAATGATACTAATGGGTCACACTAACAACAACTTGATACAATTGATCATTTATTAGAAATTGATTTTAATAAATATTCAATAAAACTCTTATAATTAAATTGGAAATTATTTATTTCATGGAAATAATAACTTTCATTAGCAAATAATATTACATAATTCATATGGTATGAATTAATAAGTTATGTACAACTTTTTGGACTAGTTGAAACCCTTTTGTCTTTTACTCAAAAGACAAAGTTTATATTTTATAAAACGTGAGTTTATAAAATTTAAACAAACTCTTCCCTTTTATTTATAAAATTCCGAAAATAGATAAAGGAAAAGGGGTTATGGGCTTTTAATTAGTTTATTCAAAAGAAATGAGGCATGATAGACATGTTTATGACATGGGGACATATGTGCTTAAAGTGTTAAGACCTAATGTAACATCTGGACTCCCAGGCATATTATTTATATATTTATTTTTGGGGTTTATTGAGTAACTCGGCGAGTTGGTGCCTCAACTCGTCGAGTAGAGTTGTGATTGGCCACGGGGGTTAAGTGACCAACTCGACGAGTCAGAGAACCGACTCGCCGAGTTGGTGCTGTGATATGAAACCCTAAATCCTCGGGTTTGGAGCCAATTTAAGAGAATTTATGTTCTCATTTGCTCCTCACCAGTTGCCCAGCCTCCCTGTGTGAGACCCTAAACGAGTGTAGTGAGCTAAGAGAGTCTCAAAGGTAATCTTGAGGAATTTTAGTGCATCTTTTTTGAGGAGAAGAGGAGTTTTTCCAGCAAGGAACAAGGAGGAACTGTGGGATCCAGGGCCAATTCATCCAAAGCTTCAAGTGGAAGGTAAAAAGCATGCACCTTTCTCATTTATTTGGTTAGATCTCATGATTATGGAAGATTAGGGTTTCTATCACCTTCTAATTGGGACTTCGAGCATACTGAGTTATCATGAGGTTTAGAACTCAGATCTGGACCTTGTGAGGTCCTTAAAGTCCAAAGGTCCCAACTTTATTCATCCATATGAGGGTTATTGTGCTTAACACTTTGTGAGAACATGTATTGGTATCTTGGAGCAAAAGTACCCTGCATGACCGTAAAGATCGAAGCTTTACGTAATAATCGAGTCATGGGATGCTAGATCTTGTGTTTGGAGTGATAGATCTGCTTTAAAACGTCTGAATGAGAAATCATATTGAAGGGATTCGCTGAGTTTATGAACTGACTCGACGAGTCGGTTAGGGTTTTTCCCAATGAGCTTGATCATGAGATAACTCACCGAGTGGAGGTTAACTCGATGGGCTGAGCTGGACTTTCATGAGACTTTTGAGGAAACGAGTAGACTCGACGAGTCACATAGATGTACTCAGTGAGTCGGGTCAAACATGGACTGTTGACTCGGGCGTTGACTTCTGTTGACTTTAGGGTTTTGGTCAAGACAAGGTTAAGAGAGCCATAGAGGGGTAAAATGGTCTTTTACCCATTCCAAGAGTTTGAGAGAAATAGAATGGCCTTGATTTATTTGGAGTTGTGAATAGAGTATTAATTAGAGATAATT